TAATATCCATAAGGATCGGCAAACAAAATTTACTAATTTAGATTTGTGTGTATAATAATGGGATTTAATTAAAACACAAAAGCCTTTTTTTTTTTTTTTTTTTAATTTATTTATTTATCTAAACCACTGTTATTGCACATCACTCAAACACTTGTCTTCAACACGGCATGTTCTTCAATCCATACTCCTGGATTCCATCAAATGTTGAACTATTTTAAGTACTTCTCCTGAAATGCCGATCTTCTTTAATGTTCATAGAAGGAATTAAACCTGTAAATGGCACGAACAAACCATTGCAACGACACATAAACAAACGATCATGTTGATACAGAAGAAACGTTGACGCATAATTGCTTTGAGATGCTTTTTACCGAAATGTATTTTTCGCAAACAATAAAAGCATAATTTTTGAATGCACAAGTTTCTTATATATATTACTTATATCGGTTAGTGTTTCTTCTCAAAGTTGAAATTGCTTAAATTGACCTTTGATTATTATGTTCCAAGAAAAATAAATAAACAAATTAATCGACGAGCTAGCTAGTTATTTTATCGATTGAGGAAAATATTGAAATGAATCTTGATTTTCCGAATTCTTGAATATATGTATATCTTTATACTTTCTCCATTGATTGTATTGTTTGATTCTTAAGATTTTTTAGCATTAAATTAAATTAAATTTTATAATTTTGTTTGGCATTATATACAAGAATAAAAGAGCTAGACTTGTTTGTTTTTCAGGTCCTGGACCTCTTTGACCTCGGAACACCTTGTTGATATTATTTTAACTACTAAACTAACCCAGTAACCCATTTTCTTCAGTGCTCTTGTAGTTGGTTTTCTTGCAGATCATAGGCTGAGAAGTGGAAGCTTGGAATGTCTATAAATACCAAGTTCAAGACTCAAGAAAGTTAAGGATTCTAAGAAATAAAAACCGAGAGCTGAAAAGAATACATGAGATTTTTTTGTGTGTTTTTATAATCTGTTTTACGTACTCCTCATGAGTACATACTTTACGTACTCCTCACGAGTACATTCTTTGAAATCTAGAATTTTCATTATTTATCTTTTTGTTTCTAGATTTGATTGTAAGAATGATCAAGCTAGTGATTCATTCATAAGGAAGAAGTTTTGTACTTCTTCTCTTTGTATTCTTGTAATACTGTTTTTAATACAAGTTTTTACGTCCTTTAAAGGGCAAGTTCACAAGTTTTTACTTGTGAACATTTTTAATCTGAGTATTGTTTTTATATTTCCGCTGCATGTTTATACAAGTGTCATAACACTTAATATAACACCTCTGTATTAAACGAATTCGGGACCATAAATTCTTTCAAACCGCAACCTTCCAAAATAGCTCTTAAATTCTCTGAAATTCGTCTAATAATATATAGTTTGCTTGAACGTCACAGGGGGTTTCCACCGAATCATGTCCGTAATTAAATTTCTTTTATGACACATATATAGTAACCCATTTTAGAAGTTGGAGCGCTCCAAAACTTAAGCAAAGTCGCTTGAACAAAACAAATTCAACGTGCAAATAAGTTGCGAGAAATGAAGTGAAAGTCACTCACCACATCATATAATACAATTAGGACTTGATCAGGCACAACCAGTTCTCCTAAAATCAATTGATTTTGGGACAACTGCTATTGGTTTTATTCGACTTTCGGGTTATTAATTGGTTTAATTAGGACAACTGGTAGCGTCTGATGTCCTACATATTATACTATTGCATTGGCGGAACTTACAAGGGGAAATGGAGGCTGTTACCCCCAAGATTTTTTTTATAGAGAATTTGGCATTGTATTTTTTGAATATTACTTTTAGCCCCCTATAGTTTTTGTAAATATGTATCTTAACTCTTAATCCTTTATTTTTTTGTTTCTTCTCCATATATATATATATATATATATATATATATATATATATATATATATATATATATATATATATATATATATATATATATATATATATATATATATATATATATATATATATATATATATATATCATATTTGAAATAAAATTTATAAATACTTACTTATTTATGAATTTTTTTTATCAATGACACTAAAAAATAATATGAGACGAAACCATGAATCCCTAAAATATTAAGTACGATACATTATTAGAATAATTTGAATTAATTTAGATTTTTTATCAGTATGATAAAATTATAATATATATGCCATTTTAAATAAAACTTATCAATATACACTTATTTTTGCAATGTTTTCTGAACCTAAATATTTTGATCCCGGTTCTGCCCCTGTAATATTGGATACATATATAGTACTTTGTCCACGGACGGATGGAATGAAGTAGTGTTGGAGGATCCTTCAGCAAAAAAAAAAAATATCCAAATGATCGATCTTAAATTTCCTAGTTGGTGTCATGTTTGATGAAATGGTGTTGTACATGTATATATTTGTAAGTATTGGACCTACAAGTTAGTGGTTTAAGGGGCATGTTTTGCTGCTTCTTCATCTTTCATGACATGTTAAACACCCAACCAATATACATATTGGTCCCACTTTTAATCCCTATTTGTACATTTCCCATCGTACTTTCTTTTGTCTTCTAGATATTTTTCTTACATTGTTCTAGAACCATCTTAATTAATTGGGTAAATATGGTTATCTTATAGATAAGGTCAAATTACGAAAACACTCTTTATGTTTAGAGAATTACAGTCACTCCATCAACTATGAATCTTCTTACACATTCATTCTTATGGAGTCGAATTCAACATAATCTTTTAGATCCCGTGAAATGTTCTCTGGTTTGTACTCGTTTTGTGTAAAAATGTAGTTTTTGACGCACCACGATTTGATATTTACAACCAAGAGACACATCTTATGACCATCTTGTTCAAAAAATATGAAACTCGAATGGGGTAAAATAGGTGCAAGGCTGCAAGTGTAAGAAAATTTAGAATTGAGCGGTGGTTGTAATAATCAAAACATGAGGGTTTTTTCTTTTCTTTTTTTTTTTTTTTTTTTTTTTTTTTTTTTAATTTGACTTTATTTCAGGATAACTGTAATTTACCATAACTGATTTGCATTATAGTTATTTAATTTATTGGCTCTAAATCATCAAAGAAATTGAAAATATAGATAAAATAACTAATATCGACGGTATAATTATTTTCTTTTTATTTGTATTTTGTAGTACGGTTTGCGCGAGTTACTGCACGAGAACGGATTATATTCGATGCAATTCGACTGGCTGCAGGTTATCTCGTAAATTTTTCTATATTGGTGTGTGTGTGTGAGAGACAATTCCTATATATATATATATATATATATATATATATATATATATATATATATATATATATATATACATATATATATATATATATCCATATACATATATAT